CTCCTTTCTCAGGTTATTGCTCTGACTCTCACACCCAAGCCAGGCTGAAAGCAAAATTCATCTTCTGCCTCCTCAAAGATCCTCCGGAGCTGCCTGGGTGTGAACAACCTCCCCTGCTCCCAGGGAGCGCTGCTGGGAGCAGTGAGCCGGTGCCAAGCACCTCTCTGCGGGTGAATGAATGCACACCAGGGCTGGGGGGGGGATGAAGTAATTCACACCCTGAAGCTGCACCGCCACCCTGTGTTGTACCTTGAGGGCATGAAAGAGCCTGGAGAGGTGAGGATGCTGGCTGAGCTGATGAATGGTACCGAAGCAGATCTAGTTGAACTGTGTCCTGTTAAAGGTGTCCGTGTACAGATGGAGGATTCTCATGTTTAGGCTTGAATAGGACGTGAAACCCAGCACCCTACAATGGCCATCAGGCTCTAATTTGGGATTTTACCCACCTCAAAATTCCACTTCCATTTAAATACAATTCCCTGTGCAGTGTCTGTTTCTGCACAGACTGATCCGTAGCCAAAGCCATGCCAACCACCCCTGCTTTTAAAAGGTTTGTGTATGCACAGACAGAACAACCAATTTGCTTTAAAAACATTCTTTTAGCTAGTGTAGCTAAAACGTGCTATTGCCTTCACCTAGGGGGTCGGGCTGTGATTGGGGCTGCAGTGCTGGTCGCCAGCCCTGTTCTTGTCCCTGTCCTGTTGCTCACCTGCTGCTAAAGCCACTGCCACCAGGTGTCCTGGCTGGGTTTTCCTTCGTTTTCCCTGGCTATGACCAGGGGTAGCAGTCCTGCTCCTCTCCACAAAATCTGCTGGCTACTGGGCAAGACGCACACGCCAGCAGGCACAACCCCAGTGCTACCTACAGATTTCCTGGGCTTCCACTAAAATATCCTAGGTGACCGGCAAGGATCTTTCCAAGGGGCTGACAAGGGATAATTGCAACCTTTTAATTTAGTGATCCGCAGCCCTCGGTCCCGATCCTGCAGAGTGCTGTGCTGCTTCGGGCCTGGAGGGGCTGGTTTGGGGACACCCCCTGTGCTTCCTCACCTCTGCTGAGACGGTCAGAGGGGGCTTTTACCCACCGATACGATGGACACGGAGGAGGCACCCCGGGCTGTGCGCAGGGGGGAGGGGAGATAAAAACTCACCAGCGGGGCCTTTCACTTGTTTAACACAGTAAATATTCACTAATTTGACTCAATAAATAAAGCCAGTCCCGGGTGGGTGCGGGAGAGGCAGCCGCACGCCCACGGGTGCCCGCCCGAGGCTGGCGATGCATTCGCGAGGCGGGGGAGCCTCCTGCTGGAGAGACACGGAGCGGGATGCGGGATGCGGGATGAGGGTGGCTGCCTCTGCCCGCCGTCCTCTTGGAGCGGTAAACGCCCTTCACCGTTCATTTTTGGAACCACTTTCTCCTCAGCCCTGCGCCCCTGCCTCCCCTCCGTGTCCTCCCGCCGTGGTTCCTTTGCCTTCAAGCTTGGCAGAAAACACCAAACATCACACATCGTAACAGCGAACAGGTGGGCTGGCACCTCCGGGCTCCTCTATGGGAGCTCCAGGATGTCCACCTGGCATGCAGGTAACATCAAAAACCCGTGGGAGTGGGAAAAACTCATCTCCTGCCTCCCCAGAGATCCTCTGGAGCTGCCTGGGTGTGAACAATCTCCCCTGCTCCCAGGGAGCGCTGGGCAATCCCTTGGCAGTGTTACTGCCATCGGGCATGTCTACATCCTCTCTTCCTGGTGTTGTGCTCTGTCTGGGACTCCTATGCCATGCAGTTAAGGAAAGGGCAGTGGGATTTGGAGAAAGGCAGAGAGGACATAGAATCATAGAATTATAGAATTGCTGAGGTTGGAAAAGACCTCTAAGATCATCGAGTCCAACTATTAACACAGCACTGCCAAGTCCACCACTAAACCACATCCACTAGTGCCACATCTACATATTTTTTTCTAACACTTCCAGGGGTGATAATTACACCACATCCCTGGGCAGCCTATTCCAGTGCCTGACCATCCTTCCAGCGAAGAAATTTCTCCTAATATCCAATCTAAACGCCCCCTGTTGGAACTTAAGGCCATTTCCTCTTGTCCTATCACTTGTTGCCTGGGGGGAAAGGCAACTCTCCCTGGCTACAACCTCCTTTCAGGTAGCTGTAGAGAGTGATCAGGTTCCTCTGAGCTTCCCCTTCTCCAGAGTAAACAATCCCAGCTCCCTCAGCTACTCCTTATCTGACTTGTGCTCCAGACCCTTCATCAGCTTCATTGCCTTTCTCTGGCGTGGTGGGAGGTGACTGCCCTGGTGCAACTTCTTCATAGGTATTCGCTCCCTGTCCTGGTTGAGTAAGATGCAGACTAGGTGGGATGCTGGTTGGAGCAGCAGGGACAGAGGGACAACTTCATCTGAGCTGTGGGCTCTGACAGACAAGCTCTGGGGCTCTGCCAACACATCTAAGGCGTTACTGCTCCCAGATGGCTGCTCTGTCCCTCTGCCAGGAGGGACGTGCTTCCTAGCTGGAGCAGGAGAAGGAGGGACATCTGCCTGGGTTTCAGTCACCAGAGTTGCTGCCAGCCTCCCTGTGCAAGCCTGTGTTTGCTTTCAGGTGAGAGCATGCACTGTAAAGCAAAGCTGCTGAGACCTTGAGTACTGTGTCCAGTTCTGGGCCCCTCAGTTCAGGAAGGATATTGAGGTGCTGGAGCAGGTCCAGAGAGGAGCAACAAGGCTGGGGAAGGGACTGGAGCACAAGTCCTATGAGGAGAGGCTGAGAGAGCTGGGGTTGTTCAGCCTGGAGAGGAGGAGGCTCAGGGGAGACCTCATCACTCTCTACAACTCCCTGAAAGGAGGCTGTAGCCAGGTGGGGGTTGGTCTCTTCTCCCAGGCAACCAGCAGTAGCACAAGAGGGCATGGTCTTAAGCTGTGCCAGGGGAGGTTTAGGTTAGATATTAGGAAGAAATTTTTACAGAGAGGGTAATCAGGCATTGGAATGGGCTGCCCAGGGGAGTGGTGGATTCACTGTCCCTGGAGGTTTTTAAGATGAGACTGGATGTGGCATTTAGTGCCATGGTCTAATAACCATGGCGGTGTTGGATCAAGGGTTGGACTTGATGATATCGCAGGTCTTTTCCAACCTAGTTGATTCGAGGATTCTGTGATTCTATGTCCAGAGGGGCAATGTGGCAGCCTACAGCAGAGAGTGGCCCAGGCACGTGAGGGTGATGACACTTTGCCCATTTCCACTGCTGCCAGGACTTGCCAGCAGCTTCTTTGCATGGGGATCAAAGATGAGGAATGAATGTTTTGCAAAATTACACCCTCACCTATTGAGCACCGATTTCTTACCACTGATTTCTGACAAATCACCAACCCATTAGATTTCTTTTGGGCCATTAAGTCCTTTTATTCCTTCAGGGATGCCCCCGAACCTGATCTCCCCGTGTTAGAAAACTGGCTTCTCAGAGTGTTTTTTCCAGAGTGGCTTCCCCAGGCCCAGCACAGGTGGGTGCACATTCATTCTTGGTGTGTTTTGGGTATCATGGGACAGCAGGGACCCTGTGTTGAACATACTGCTGAGCAGTGCAAACCTGCATAAATTCACTTTGAATCCCAAGTCCTCTTCATTGACTGTGTTAGGTCTGAGTGTCACCCCCTTGAATCAGAGGAGAGACTAAAATTTGCCTTATTCCTTCTGGAGAATAAAACCCAAACCCACAGCAGGACATAGAGCAGCACAGCTTTATTTCGATATTCTGACCAGAAATTAATTCCGTATAGAGCAGGGAGTGATGTAACACAAGCCCCAAGTATGCGCTCGCATCCTGGAATTAATTGCCTTACGCCCCTCGTTATTTATAGCCCCGCTGGCGTTCCCAGCAGCTCCGCACGGCGCTGCTTCTGCGGCGCTACCCGAGCGCGCTGCCTTCGCCTCCTGCCAGCCCCGTGGCAGCGGCGGCAGCTGTGTTGTGTGTGCAGATCACATAGCAACTGCGCACAGCTGCCTGCCAAGGAAAACCGGCCCCGCTCCCTCCCCTCGCCGCTTTCTTACATGGAGGCAGGGAACAAAGCAGCTGGCAGGGAGGGAGATGCGTGGGGAAGAGCGAGACCGGATTCCTTGGCTTAGCAGTACCGAAAACCTCCTTGCAAAGGCGGCCCGGGGTTTGTTTTGGTGCGGAGGGCTTCTGCCGTCGGGGCAGGGCTGGTGGAATGTGAGCTCCAGGCTGTGCTGCTGACTGGCTGACAGGAGTTGGGAGGAGAAAAATAATTCCCAGCGTTGCTGATGAAGCCACATTAAATCGCACGCGGTTTTCCTGCTCTGAGCCAGCTGCTGCCCCTCTGTTGGGGCAGGGGGCTGCATAGGAGCAAGGAGGCAGCAGGGGCTGGGGAGCTGGGTGTGAACTGGCCCACGGCTGCTGCCTGGCTGAAATCCAGCTTAGGGGCCCAGCCGATTTGGCATGTTGTCACCTTGACATGCTTGTTTTCCAGCACTGGAAAAGAGAGGTATCCCTGCTGGTGGCACCAGCCAGAAAGCACAAAATGTGGGCCAGGATGGGGGCAGGCTGGGACCTGTAGCCAGGCTGTAGCCTGAGCCAGGATTTGGCTCCTTCAGAGATTTGTCTGCCTTCTTTTGCATCTACTGGAAAACTTTTCTTTAAGTTTCTTCAATTACTTTTCGGCAGGATTTTTACTGTGCCTCAAACCTCGTGCAAGCAGCATATCTATGCTGGATGACACAACAACCCCCAAGGCTCTCTCCCTCGGGATGATCAAGCAAGGGAAAAGTAGCTGGATGACCCCTCACAACGGTGCAATTCCCACTGAGCAGTCATCTTTTAAAGCTGTTTTAACACATCATGCCCAGTGTCTGGGCTAAGGCTGCAGCTCTCCCTTGGGGTAGCAGAGGCATTTATCTCTCGCACAGCCGCTGCTTTCTGATCAGAAGCAGCTGAAGGATAGAGGGGACAAGAGCTGGTGGCACGAAGGCCAGGCTGTCACTCAGGTCCCTTCCCACTGTACCTTCTGCCTCCTGTGGATGCCAAAGTCTGCAGCGGGGGAATTCAAGAAGAAGCAATCCACAAGTTTCACACATTGGGAAATTCCAGTCTTACACAGTCTGTTAGAAAATACGTACGACACAGTAATCAGAATCATTTTATTAAAAAACTTGCAATAAAATTCCTTGGAATTCACCATCTTAACTTTGAGAGTTGCAATAGTTTACTAGTACATAATAACACAGTCTCACATATTTACCTTATAATCCTCTATATAACAAAAATAGCCATGTTGTACTACTGAATAATGCTTCCAAGTATTAGCCTCAACATTTTGGTACTTCCCCCAGCTGAGTCACTGTCCATGCTCTTTAGCATTTACAGTATCTAACAAAGCAAGAAGGAAACAAAAAAATAAAGTGTGTGTCTCATGATTTCAGGCAAATCCCTTTAAGATGGTAGTTCTCTGACTCCCACATTTTTCAAGAGAGATAAAGTGCATTGGAGAGGAAGATGTACACATTATAAAATATCAGCGAAGAGTTGCAAGTATATTTGCAAGACTGTACAGAAAGTAATGCTAGGGAAAAAAAGGCAAAAAAATGCTTCACAAACTGCTACTGCACAGTTTTGGCAGCAAGTCACAGGTAGCAGAGGGATAGGGGTGGAAAAAAAAAGCCAACTACAAGAAAAAGAATGGCCCATGCAAACGCCACTGTGTGACTTTGCCATGGCCTTTTGGTAGGTGTTTCCCAAACCAAAGTACAGCTGTCTGGACAAAGGAAGTTGGTTTTTTTTTTCTTTAATGTGGAGATGAAACCCAGTGTGATCAGCCTGCAGAAAGCAACTGCCTCACCAGCACAACTTCAGTCAAACACCAGCTCCCATCCTGAAGGAGCCGCCTCGGAGTGTGACAACATTGTATCGTGACAACCCTGTATCGTGACAACCCTGTGTCCCCCTGGCTTGCTGGGGCTGGTGGCCCTGCTAGGCAGAGAAAGGGGGATGAAGCCTCCCAGTAAATCCGCTCCTGCTGTCCAGAGCAGGACTGATTACTTTAGAGAATTTCACTGGGATGGACCATTGTCTCCGAACTGGAAATTATTTCAGTAAGCTGTGCACTGATCCATATGGTGTTTATTTCATTTGGGATTTTTCTTCCCTTTATAACATTGGCATTTGCTGGTACAGCTCTGCTGCGTGTGAGAAGAGACATGGCTGGAAAAAGCTTTGTAGCCATCACTGAAAACCAGGATACTGCTGCTCTGTTCTTAACTGCATACAAGTGGGATGCCACATTTTTTTGGTTTGCTTATAAACTACTCTAAATAGAAATAATCCTCTTCTGGAAATGGATGGAATGTATATTTTGACAAGTACAAAACCATTTTAAATGTTCACTAAATACAAGGAACATCTTGGTATAAAAATAACAGACCCTCCCACCCACTATCCCCTCTTTACATTTCTAATTATAAAATGGTACAGTCATTTCAGGTTCATAACATGAAACAAGAAGTGAGGATGGCATTACATACACATAAAAAACATTTAGATAGTTGACATCTGAAATAACTGTATACATTCAGAGCAAACAAGCATCTTGATCTGGCTATTGTTTTTAATGCTACACAGAACCGAAGAATCAGGAAATAAACAAGAAAGGGAAAATGCTGAAAATGCTGTTTCTCCTTTTTTTCCCCTGTCCTTACTTCTTTTCCATTCCCTACAGAAAGAAATAACTTCCACCAATTCACAATTAAAATACTTGAGAGAAACAAGATTAATTTCAGATGGAAAATTAATCCGTCGGCTTTTCATTCAAAATCCACAACATATTTCATTCATCTTTCTTCTCTATTTCTCCCTTTGAAATACAGCTCCTGCTCAGAAGGTTTTTTTCCGTTGAAAAAGAAATGGAAAGATAAAGGGACCAAGCGGGTGTCCAGCCCAGCGGGGGGAGCGGCGCGGCAGAGGGGCAGCCTTTGCCCTCGCCCTCCCTCGCTGCCCCAGCCTGCAGCTGCCATCTGCTCCACAAACAAATCCCAACTCAAAAGTCCATCTGGCATTCCTCTTTCTGCGAAAACTATCAATTAGTTCAGGTAACAGCTTGGGAAATTAAAAGAAGTGCTTGTTTTGGATCAATTGTCCCCATTTAAAAAGTCTGTGAAAACAACACCTCCAACCTCATTTTCCCTCACCACCCCTAAGATATTTTGTGACAATGTGTTTTGCTGCTTGTGCTAACCAAGCTGAGTCACTGCTGTCACGCACACACACCCTCACATTTTGCATCTATAAAACAGAGGAGTCCATATGGGCTCAGTGTTCCTCAACAAAGCCGTGCTCCCGGTCAGCGCTGGCCATGAAGAAGCTTGGCTGCCCTGAACGTGCTGAAAGCCCCTGGCCTGCCTTTTTTTAAGCCCTGGAGCTGAACTTGGGGCCAGCTCCTTTCCCTCCTCTGATCTGCTGCAAGAGATTCCGGCAGCATGAAACACAAAGAGAGGAAGCAGCACCGTGCCAGTTTGATCCCACGTTCTCCTTCCCCTGCAACACAGGCTCATGCTGGGGCAAACATTTGTGAGAGGGGCTGGGAAGGAACTGGCTGGATTTCTCTGCCATTTTAGTCTGGCAAAACGGATGCACCCCAACAGCAATGCCCTTCTTGCAATGACTTCCTCGGGATTTGATCCAGAGGTCATTAGTGAGATCCAAGGGACCACTTATCACATGTGATTTCAATAATGTATATTTCCAGATTGCCTCTATAGACCCTTTTCTTTAGTGCCACAATCTCCCTCAAATAAAAGGTCTAAAAATGACAGCTGCTTCTGTTTTCACTACACTACAGTTTCCATACCCATATCAATGCACTTTTATATGCATACATGGCAATTTAATTCTGTAGAGTGCTTAAAGAATGAACTGCAGTCCTGTGATTGTTGTGATCCTGATTTTGAGGCTCTAAAGCAGTCAGAGAATAAAACAACCCCGAAAGTGCCAGATCTGTATCCCCACCACAATCGATCAGCTGTGGGGAGGGGATGGAGACCCGGTGCCTTGCACATCTGCATGCACACATTAGGTCATTTGTGAGTGCAAAATTCTGCCCATATAACTTTTTATGCATCCTACCTATTGAACAGACCTTTGGGAAGGCAGCTTAGTGCAACCCAAGAAAATCCAAATCTATCTGACCAAGTTTCATCCTGCAACCCAGCCCGAGGGATGATGAGCCTCACTAAGGCAAAGTCTTCTCCCCCCTACCACTTGCTCATGATAAAGAAGAGAAAAAAGCCTCAGATGACAGGACAGGAATTGCTGGGAGAGACACAGGATCAGCTTAATGACAAGAGTGCCTTTCCCTGAGAGCCACACAGTCCCCTGCCCACTGGTCCTGTGCAGGAGGTGCCACCCCCACCCAGTCATGGCACCAGCCCTGCAGAATTATATCTGTGAGCACTTGTTCTGTCAGAGGGCACCAGAGGATTTTGTTTTTTCCTGGCTGCCTTCTAAAGGCTGCTTTCCCTTGAATCCCACGTATTAAAAGCCGAAGCTTAGCAGGACTCACACAATGCTCAGGATGGGACTAACCATGTCCAAAGCTGCAAATCTGGAGGTTTAATTTTACCCTGTGAGGAATCTCAGTGGAGACACTCATGTAAGCGAAAATGTGCATGGGCATGCAGGTATGCAGAATTAAGGCCTTCAAACATGTTACTAACATACATCAGGGGAGGTCTTAATATTTATAAAGCACCTCGAATTCCCAAGGCAGTTCACAGTTTTTAGGTACAAAGAATATTGTCAGCCAGGTCCTGCTTTAGGAGAATGTTTCCATTTGACACAGGGGCTTAATTATGCTCATAGAAGACCTGCTGAAAATAATGTGATTTCGGTACAAGTCCAAAATTAGTCATAAGTGCTTTTTTATAGAAGGACGGAATAGAACATTTACTTAAGTGCTTTCCTAAGTTCAGGCTTCAGTAATGTGTAACCTGGCTTTGCACTCATTATCACTTAACAGTGCTCAGAGCTGCAGAACACTTGAGGAGAGGGACAGAAAGACATCTTCCCTGAGTGAAACTGCAGGCAGAACTTAAAAAACAAAAGCAGAAAGACTCCTGACCCAGATTTGTTGGGATGTTTCTTCTGAAAGACCACAGTATATGGCAATATGTCAAAAGATCTCACCCAGCCTGACACCCTGCCTCTGCCAGTGGCCACCCGTGGATGCTGAGAGACCAGATCTAGTACAGGATACTTAGGAAAAGAGTGTGCACAGCATGAACCCTCTAGAAAATCCTTCATTAACTCCCAGAAATATGGGCAGGGTCTCAGTTACCATCTCTGTGATGCCTCTTTGAGCACGGCTCCCTTTTATGATTTTGCTGCACAAAGGACACTGCTTGCTATCAGCTGGGAGTTTCACCTCCTGCCTTGCTTTTCCACAGACCTCTTTTTCCTCTGCTGTGCTGTGGGTGGCTCCGCTATGGCAACAGCTAATTGGTCAATCTATCCATTGAGATTAACTTGACTCAGTTTAGAGTTAAGACTTTGCAACAGCTCCTGTGAAACCCAAACAGTTTGGCCAGGAGCTTTTAGTCTGTGTGCTGAGCTACAGTGGGTGTATGTGAAAGGATTACTGACAACTCGGACATGGTGTTCGTGATGTTCCTGTGACATGTAGCACCCAGGCTCCAGCGCTGGAGAAGAAATTGTACCAGTGCTTGTACTTTCTATAGGGAGCCCTGACTGCGTATAAGCAGCTTCACTCCTTCCCCTGCAGTCATCTGAGATGAATTTCATTCCTGTGTCAGTATTTGGTGTAAGCACCACTTAAATCCCATTTCAGCATTATTTCCAGAGCCTTAAGTGGAGCTGATGCAGTACCTTGTGCAAACTCTCTTGTGCAGGGGTCAATATCAGCATTGATGCGTCAGGTCTTTTCCACTGAAGCAAGGAACAGAAAAGACATTAAAGAATAAAGAAAATAAGATTACACAACCACAAATATTGTCAAGACTGACCTAGCTGCACCTTCTGGAATGATCTCTAACTTTCTTTTTTAGCCAAGAAGATTTCCAGCTGCCTGTATGTCTTCAACTGAGATTTTCATTCATATGGCTTCTAAAGATGTAACAGCACATTTTTGGATCTTTTTCATAGAATCACAGAATAGTTTGGGTTGGAAGGGACTTTAAAGATCATCTTGTTCCAACTCCCCTGCCAGACCAGGTTGCTCGAAGCTCCATTCAATCTGGCCTAGCACACTTCCAAGCATGGGGCATCCACAGCTTCTCTCAGCAATCTGTTCTAGTGCCTCACTGCCCTCACAGTAATAATTTATTCCTAATAACTAATCTAAACCTGGCCTATTTCAGTTTAAGCCTTTGCCTCAAGATTACCTGGCAGTAATTAAGCTATAAAATGAACTGAGTTCTAAATGGACCAAAAAGGATGGAGAATAATTTTTCTTCTTCCTGTACTAAAGAAGCAAGTCAACTAAAATTTTAGGGATAGTTCTAAACACATTTGTTCCTGAAGATCTGACAAACACAATTTTTTGCTGGAAGTTGTTTTCCCCATCTAACAAGTAAGTCCACAAGGAGATTAAATGCAGCAAGAGTCCCAAGAGTTGCATTTTGAGATGTTGCCATGACACCATCAAGTCAAAATGTTTGACCTCCATGGAATTTCGATGTAAGATGAATTGTTGATTTTGTGGACTTACTCAGGAGGCAGTAATGTGATTCAAATCATTTGACTCTCAGCAGAAACCATGTACTCTTGTGTAACAGTAAGCCAAAAATGCTTCTCCACAGTTGAGTATTTCGACTGAAAAACCAGATCATGCACTGAACAAATAACAATAAGCTTTTACCTGGAAAGAAGAGCTCAGGATGAACTAAATGATTATGTCAGGTCGTTATTATTTAGGTGTTTTGACTTATGTTAGTTCTTTTTATTTTCAAATTCCCTCCCCAAAGTCCCTTCCCAAAATATTTTGGTATATCTACCTATACAGAAATTGCAAGTACTCCAGTATGCTTCCAAGAGCGTTGACTCTGGAGGGCAACAAACCACCTGAACTCTTGTGCTGGATAACAAGCAGACAAAACCTGCTGTCAAAACGTAAGAAGTGAAATGCACTAAGGAAAAAGACCCAAAACAAATCAGGAGTTAAACATTTCAGCCAGCTGCCTCTTGCTTCATTAGCAATTTCTGACACTGACAGCAGCATCTCCAGACCCTTTTTAAGAATATTGTCACCTGTGTAATACAGAGCTGTTAACGAGCAGCCTCTGGAAACCCCTCAGACACTCCTTTAGCTCAGTGATTTGACTTTGGTCTGTAAAACTAAGAAAAGACATGATGTTAGACCAGATCTTTTTTTTCCAGCTACTGAATTGACTTGAAGGAAGGCCACTAATGTACTGACAGCTGCTAATAGCATAAAATATAGCACAGGACTACACGGACGGATTGATGCTTTGAGCTTTTCTTTCTCTCCTTTAAGCTGTACGATACTTCTCTAGGACAGAGTTCTATGTAAAAGACAACATAATGCAGTTTTAACTCAAATCTCAGCAATCTCTGTTAATTCAGAGCTCTCTTACAAATAAAGACCTTCAGAATACACCATTTCCAAGCCTTCCACTTCATGAAAGCAGGCTTCACATTAATGCAGGGTGCAGGTGCACTGTCCTTGTGAAGCCATGCGTACCTTCATGCAGAAACAACAAGGCAATGATAAATCCTGGTCAGATTATGAAGTGACCTGCAAATGGGAATTCAGATTTCTGGACTGAACTCTTGAAAAAGCTGGGGTCAGTCAACACGAACAGAGTGCCTATCCATAACAAACTATAAACAAACAAACGAACAAACAAAACGTATGTCTTTTCAAAAAAAAAAACCCAACAAAAACTCAATTGAACAAGTGTAGAAAACACTCAAGCTGTCATTTCAGTTGCGTATTTACGAGCCACTGAAGAGTTCCATGACTGCTCTCAAGCACGTGGGTGAACTGGAAGCGTTCATCTCCCGTGTGAACCAAACGAGGGTATGTAGATGATGAAACCGCATCCAGGCAGACACAACTGTTGCTATTGCTTTTCGTGACCATCTCAGAATGGAGTGTGCAGGAGTGACAGTGCTCTGGAGGCATGTGCATGACTGGTCCAAATCCTAGAAAGCTGACTCGGTCCCTCCCTGTGACCCTCCCCTGTAGTTTGGTGTTGGATCTCTGTTTGTTTTTCAAGATTTCACCTCTTCGCAGTCTTGATCAGTGGAAAGCTCCACATCGGACAGTCCAACCTCCATTGCCATAATCAATGAAATATCTGAATCACTGCTGACTGCTGGCTCCTGTTCATCTGTGAGGGTAGAAAAGACAGGAAAATGTCATGTCTTTCTGTTAATGTATTACAAATTTTTAGTTCTGTGGGTGGAACCCAGAAGTTCCCCCCCCGCCAAAGGTTGTCCTTAGAGTTGAAACTTTGCTCTTATTCGATATCTGTCTAAAACATTCCAGAAATATCACAAAGTTCAAGCCATCATAGTGAGAAATATGATGACAAGGAGCTCGTATGGGTAACACTTTCATCTCCTCTTAATCCCCCCAGGGCTTTCTGTCCAGGTCCTTCATGACCTTCCTCCCATAACCTGAGCATTTCCCTCCCCATCCCCTTTCACTTCTTTAACTTGGCATCATCTTCTCTCTCCACAAAGGCAGAAAGTTAAAGTCACAGGCACCTGGTGGAGCAAGTTAGTCATCAGAAAAACATTCCTAACAGGAAAAAATCTGCCTAAACCCTCATCAGGTGACAGAAGCTCTGTTAGCAGACAATTTTAAGCAGGTGCTAGGCTAACATCGGAAGGAGCAACACAGGCATCGTTAGTTCTGCCTCAGGACTCTGGACCAGGCTACCTGCCTTCTCAAGTGCCCCCTCTCATCCTTTTCCAGTCTCTTTCATATTCACTCTTTCCTCTGATTTGAAGATACCTTGCAGGTTCTTGAACCAGGCCAAAGGGATGTCCCTTAATACACCATGACCCCAAACACACTGAGTCATATTACTGACTTCTGCCAAACTGCAAATCCCATCAAAATTACGAGCACAGGAAGAGCAACTTGCTTTTGTTTTGATCCCACAGCACTTATTCTGTGTATATTTAGTAGCAGATAAAGCCAACAGATTCTAAAGGACTAAAAACTAATTTTCTTTCAAGAACGATCAGTAGAAGCAAAGCACACTGGAACTCTAGGGAGATTTTAAAAGGCTCAGAACCCCCATAGGTGGCTGAATCCCTGAGAGAAAAAGCTGATGGTTCCTATTTTCAAGTGGTTTAATTACAGTTATGGTATTTATACTGTAACAATATAATGTTTTTAAATCTGGTGCAGTTTTTCCTTTAAATATTTTATTTTTCAGACAATAGAAGCAGAGCCTGATTGATACTAAAAAGTCTGAAAGTTGACTATCTAAGAATTAATAGGTAAAAAACATTACAGTGAGCTAGTAATAACTCCTCAAAGTTTATTGGCTTGAAGATAAGTGAGCACAATTAGTCACCTCACAAGAGCTGCATGATTTGTAAATCTGTTTCAGAGAAAAAAACCCCACATGTGTTTAGTTGTGCTGGGATTAGACATCATGTTCTGCAGAGAAAGCTTGAATGGGGTCTGCATTATTCAAACTGAAAGAACCAGTGCTTTCCTTTACAATTCTTCCCAGTTTTCACCCCGGATTATTTTTATACTTTCTTGATTGCAGGTTAAATAATTAATGCATACAACATCTCTACATCTGTATCTTTTTTCGCCTTTCAATATGACAGTAGTAAACATTTCTACTGACTTCTGACTATGTTTCCACTGAATGATACATCCTGCAGACTTCACTGGGCTCAACTGCACTGAACCTTTAGGTGAACTGCTGGATCCTAGAGTACAACAGTGCATCTCATACACCTCCAACACCTAAAGCATCATGTGTAGTAGTAACGGCCCCCTAAGCCAGAATAATGTGGTTCCAGACCACTGGATTATTTATCATTCCTCTATAACTAATAGGATTCTTAAAAACAATGAAAATTATGCTTTAAATGTTGATCTAAGAGCAAGTTTATATTTGCAGGACAGAGTTCCTGAGGCTTAGCCATGTTAAACAGCCACTCGGAGCGCTCTTGAGAGCCAAAGTGATTTCCATCTGAACTGGCTGGGCAGGAAAAAAGGCCTGGCTGAATGGCGACAGCCAGATGCACACTCAAGAGGCAGGCAGAGCTGCCAACACCAAATGTCAAAATGTCAAATGAGAAGTGTTTATGGTGCTGAAATGTTATTTCAAGAATTGTTGTTTCCTCTAGGGTTGCATAGCAGAAAAAGATCTCAACTGAGTCCAAGACACTAAGACAGAACAAAAGCAGATTTGCAAATGTTGGATCAAGATATAGGAGCACCCCATTTCCAAATCAGCAAACTTTAGTTTTACATTAAAAATCCTATACAATTATTCAAATTCTTGGATCTCAGTCTTTGCAAAGTGTGGGCTTTGTAGTTGTCTTCTTTTCAACTGCAGTGCAGGTCGGCAGGAACAATGAATAAAGATCCTAAAAATGCCCATGCCTATGCTCTGGCATTGCTTTTCCAGCACTGTGAAAGAGCCTAGAAACAGGAACACTCCACCTTCCATGCTTGCTAACACTGCAGCAGTTCAAAACCTTAAAGCTACAGCCAGCCATCTCAGCAGAGTGGGGAGAACAACCAGGACATCCCTATGCTTACAACTTCCATTTTGGGGAAGGCATCTGCACCAACATTTCTTTGGAAGATGTAGACAACACAAGAAATTAATTCATCCCTCAGCATCACCTGCTGGCTCCTGTAAACAGGAGTCCTACTACTGACCGACCCCAACACACACAGGATGAAACTCTGGGGGGCTGCAGAATTTACAGCAGACACAGATCAGCTGTAGGGAACTGCAAGGTCTGCAAACTGCCTCACCGTGGCTCCCCCACACAACACAGGCTTGCTAGACTCTGCTGGTTTGTTTTTTGGTTTTGCTATTTTTTTTTTTGGCTGGCTTCTCAATAATGTGAGCCAGCAGAGTTACTGTTATTTGTTAAAGGTAAGCAAACCTCAACTATACTGCAAGTGCCAGGAGCTTAGCCTGCATTTTGCACCTCTGGTTTTTAGATCCTATTTACAATGACAAAGCTTATACAATCACATAGCTTCTCCAAAAGATGCCTGACTTGCCATTAACTAATTTTATGACCTTTTTGCAAGTTTTTTCTAATCTGCTGTTTTTCTTAAAGACCTGAAGTCAGGTGAAGATCTCAACTTTCAGTGAAGATCTCAGCTTTCACTTAAAAATAAATGAAGCTTAAGAATCAAAAAGGAAACAAATCTCTAATTTCTAGACAGATTTTATGTTGGAATATCTGAATTTTGATTTTAGATGCTTGAGATTGGCAATCCTGTCTAACAACACAAGCTATAATACATACTTCCACCGTGTTTTACAGCACTTCATGCCACAGACATAAAGCCTTTTGCTTAATGAAGGAAAAGGCACATCCCAAGCTGCTTTTCAGCCTGAGTGCTGGTGCCTACAGCAGGGAACTATAGACCTCACTGCCACATTCCTCCCATGTCAGTGAAATGCAATACACCACAGCATGCTGCCTGTCCAGACAGACTTTTTCCACTCACTTATATTTCCTGACACACATTCGTTTGAGAGATGAAATAAACCAAATCCCTTCTCTAGCCAATATTACTTTAAATTTAATGATGTCAGTGCAGGCAGAATATCACCATGGATTTGGAACCTCCCTACATAACAGCAGTACAGCCCTTACTTCTTGAAAAGCTGATCAATTGATGTTTACATTTGAATATTATTGCAATCAAACAAGGATGACAACAGCTAGTTACTCTGGTGCTTTAAACACAGTAAGACTGCACACTAGTAATAGTTATTTACTGCTGCTGCTACTCCCAACTCTTGGAGTAACTCTGTAGCCGTCGTACACTAATAAATATTCCAAAAGAAAGAGGTCAGACTATGGGTTTCTAAGAATTTGATACTGTTTGCAAGAGGCTTGTGAGGGAGCTAAGCACTCAACAGTGAGTGAAAAAAACATTCCTCTGCCATGCAAAGGTAAGCATACAGGCATGGGCACCAGTTAAGATATTTTCTAACCTAGTTGATTCTGTGATTCTGTAACTACACAACAAAAGCTTCTCAGCATTGAAGATATATAAGGATTGTCTAAGATGGCACTTTTTTCCTTCTCTGGACCTTTGCTATTACACCCATTTGGGCATAAGAAGATGAGAACTGCCACTGAGTGTGTAATTCATCTACTGAAAGTGTAACTAAAGCCAGCAAACTCCTATTCTTGTGGATTAAAGACACGGGTCACAGCAATAACCTATTCAGCTCGGAGTCAGTCTCCCTTGCCTCATTTATTATCAGCCCTCCATGACCTAATCCAGCATCCTCAGTCCTGCTCCGCACGCAACTGAACTTTGCAGAGAGCAGTGCAGTTGCTCGTGGTTTTCTTAATCTTATGACAGGGACAGGAATCAGGGGGTAAGAAAAAGCTGCTACTGTGCTGCTGACTGAGGTGTGACCTATTTGTGTCGCTGAAAAGTTGAGCATTTAGCATAAGAAACGGGTCCTGCTTTGCTCGGGTCTTCTGTTCTTGATGGTAGATGTAGATGCCCAGCTTAGAGGTGAAATGACTAACAATTGATTTTTTTCATATAAGGAAATACTGTGCAAAATTTATCTGTTGTTATTTCATCATTAACTAGTAGAAAAGTGGGACTGACTAAAACCTTGTTTTGACAATAAATATACAGCAAAATTTGGACTTGATTTCACTGCTCATTTCACACACTCACTACTGTGAAATATACCTTATTTCAGAACTCTTCAGTTTCTGGAGATAGAATTAAACCAAAACATCAAATCCCTGGTGACAGTTATGCTCTCAGATCTAGACAAATATCTAAAATGCCTGTGTTAGCATGAACCCAGTCTGGGGCTCATTTCTATTAAAAAAACATTCAGATGTGTCTAGAAGGATTTTGCTTCAGAAGAAACCAGAAATGTGACCCATCTTCTAGAGCTTCGACGACCTGATAGAAAATATATCCAAAGTCATTAAAGGCCCTTTATCAAAACACATTCTGCTCAGCTTGAAGCTGCAGTGAACTGCCAGTGCAAGCAGTGCTATTCTGATTTTGTTTCCAATATCAGAACAACCAGAACATAATTCATCACATTTGATTTATGAGAGGGAGAGATACATATCTAGATTCCTTTATTGCTCTTTGTCTGCCCAAGAATGCACTTTA